TCCCCTTTTATACATTAAAATGCCCCGAGTTGTCCAGCGCACAATATTTGTCCGGGAATCGAGCGCCATCCATTTGACTTGAGTCGCTTGGCGAAAAACTCATTTCACTGCCCAGAAATGCCAAGCAAGTTGGGGGCTTTGCAGAAAAAGAGGGGCTCCCCGAAAGGGTGGAGTTTCCCACCCAATGAATGAGTTTTCTTTTTCTAGCCCCACTTCCGTGTATCGTGCGCCAAAGGGAAATGGATGGAGGTCAATTTCATGACGGCGAAAGGATGGGTTGGCAACACATTTTGATTTCTGGTAAATAAGAGGAAGGGCTCAACCCTACAATTCACAAAGGAGAGGATGTATTAAGAAAAATCTCATGCCATGACCACTGTTATCCGATGGTTTTTAATATTCTCTCTTTTCTGTGAACTTATGTCTTGACGTATGTAGGGGAAGTGGGGCTACTTCGGATGGTGCAGTAATTTGTCTCATAAATAAGACATTATTTCTTAGTCTATCTTCTGAGCGCAGTTAGACACCTAGCCAAGAAACCTTACACAGGACTGTGAATAGTTGATCACAAGAAGTTTAGGATTCTGTGTGTGAAAACAGTTATAAACCTGTAATCGCATATTAAAGTTGCTATGAATAAAATATATTGTAATGTGTTTTCAGCTTTTGAGAGTGGAAATTGAATTTCGTGAATGTTTTAGTGCAGTTTGCTTGTGAATTCACATAGTGGCATAATTTTCACTTTCTTATCATGGATTGATGAGACTTCTCGTGTAAAGTTGCCCCGCCTTACCATAAAGAAATGGCCAAGAGAAAGATAAAATGACGAAATATTCTTTAGCGGTTTATGGCAAAAATCTTAAGATTACGATATGATCATTCAAAACAACTCCCATCTCGTAATCTTAGGGTCCCTCCTTATCCATTTCCCCCGCATTGTCTTCGTGTGACTGTTGCCCAAAGTGGGTGGAAAAGAGAAGATTGAATTGAGGAAGTATAACTCAAGAATAATGATGAATGCACACATTTCACATTAATTATTTGCGTTTTTCCTTCACTCCTCCCTTCTTCAAGTTTCACTATTGTGATGAGAAAATATTCCCATCTTTATGTGTAGTTTTTTTTTCCTACACTTCTTCCCCTCTCTCTCACTCTCTTTGTCGACATTGCGGACGACTTTGCTCCATATATTTGGTATCAGAGACAACACAAGCACAATACGAGAAACTTTTCCTCCTCATCATCTCGACAAATCGTCAAGTCAAGATGAGAGATGATGATGGTGGAAAGTGAATGAGAAAAAGATGCCAGTTTATTTAAAAGAGATCCACTCGAAACGACAATCTCTCGCATATTTACGTTCAGATTTCCTCCTGGTGCTGGGCTAAAATCGATTTCCCTCCATTTATACTTCCTCTGCACTGCACTTTCCACTACATTTGTCTACTCAGTGGGCGAAACGGCAACATTATATTAACAACTCCTCATCCATGCATTTCGACCCAGAAGAAAAGCTGCACACTGTCTAGACTCGCTTCTCCGAAGCAACATCCCGCCAGACAGATTCTCTTGCCATAAGACAAACCACCTACTTTTTTACATGCGGGAAGTACTGCACAAATGTGCACAGAAAATTCTCCTGATGGGAATAATTCCCATTCTTATCGTTCTTTTTCCTCCACCAATTCCAGGGGTGAAAATCCGTTGTGCAGCAACATCATTCTTCGTGGACAATATTGGAAATTGCAGTGGTGAATCGTCTGAATTGGGGGGTTGAAAGTTTGGGGGTTCCCAGTGAAAATGGCCCGTATGCAAATTTACGAGTAAAGCAAAACATATCGATTAAATAGGAAATTTGGAAAGGGAGCGGCAACGAGATGGCAAAGTTTCCTCTAAAATATGGGCTATTTGCTAATTAAATTTGTGATTTAACAACACTTTGCTATGATGATTTACTAAACTCGTATTAATTGTATCACAAGTGATATTCGTGGGAAATTTCGTGAGAGTTTTTAATTGAATACAACGCGGCTTTCATTAAATAACTCTTGTTTTCTATTGTGCTATTTTGAGAGCACTTTTCCTACAGTTCATCACATAAGAACTGTACTATATTCGAGAGTGAATTGCTAACAAAAAAAAGCGCTTCTCTACTCTCAACGGACTTGAGAGGCAGATATTTGATCGTCAAATGTGCCGAGAATACAATATTTTTCTCATAGCGAAGAAGCTGATTCGACTAAAAGCAACTTCTCCCCATTGATCTTCATTGAAGAAAGAAAACCACTCGGATTTTCCGGCAAATTGAGTCAATTTCGCCCGATGACTTTAAAACCAAAAGGTAAATCTCATGGAATGAGGGTGCTCGATTTCCTGTGAGACTTAACACAGACCAAACAATAAATTCCAATAAAATCCGCTCGCAATGCATGAGGCGATTCCACGACACTATGTTAAGTAAGGTATGTAGCTTTGCTGTGGGTAAAAAATGGTGGGAATCTAATTGAGCATTACCTTAATTAGACTAATTGCAGTGTCGTCTTAAATCCTCCGGTGTTGCAGTGGAACAATACACAAAATTTAACACTTTTTTCTTTGTTTATCTTTGGCTCTAGAGAAGATTTATGTGATTTCTTGGCCTTTCATATAGGGGTTCCTTTCAAATTACACCACCTTCTCTCGGCCCTTCTGGGTAGAAACAATACACAGGAAAAGCACTCGATTACTCTGAGTACATGGAAGGATTTTTGAGAAAAGAGCCCTTCAAGTGGAGTTTATTTGTTGTCTTCCAGAACAAATACACACATTCACTGGGTGACTTGAATATGTTCTTTCGTCGAGTTTCTAAACATCCTCGCTTTATACTCTGTGGCTTAATTCACATAAAAGCACTCACTGAAGCTCTTAAACTCTGGGAATTTCAGGAGCAATTCATAATGGAATAAAGTCTTGTGGCCAGCAAATCATATGATATTTCTTATGCAACAGGTAATAAATCACACTGTCAGTGTGGGATTTCTGGTGTGATTATCACTGATGATGCGCTGTCAGTGACTTGAGGATGAATTCCATTAAAAGTTCAAGTGCCTATCGACCACAAATATCGCTATTTGTCCTCACGCACACACACCAAAAAAGTTTCAACTCCCCACCGAAATAAAAGAAGCTCGAACGACCCTCAGGCACGCCACTTCCTCATAGTTTCGCGTGGGATCTGCTCCCCTTGCCGAGGAATCAACCACAACAATTCAATGCGCCGACAACGGTTCGCCCGTGGTGGTTCTTGTGTGTGGCAACGATGGTAACCGTCCCCCTTGGCGTTCAATAAACCCCAAACGTCCCCTTGACTAAGCGAGAGAGTGACTCAAAATTTGGACGAGTCGTAAGGAGCTCCTGAACATCCTCTTCCTGCGCGAAAATTCACACCGCCAACGCGATTATTGCTAAATGCACCAAGTCACGAATGAGCCTCTGAGGATGTCTCCAAGAGAATCTGACCGATCACTCCGAAAGCGCTCCACAGACTGTGCTCCTCTCGCCACCGACTACGACTCACTGTCGGTCAGGAATGGTGAATTCAGGCGGATGTCCTCCGCGCGACGCCGAAGTGGTGCGCAGGGCAACTGCGGAGCGCCTGGCGGGGAAGAGCCGGTCAAAATAAAAAGTACACGTGGCCAGGAATTTATGGCTTCAACATCGCTGCCGATGCATCCGTGCCACACCACAAAGGTCAGCCTAATAGAGTCGGAACTCCGGGTGAAATTATTCAACATGATGGAGGAGACCTCTGGCACAACAGGGTTGCAGCTACCTTTCGTTCCATTAAATTTTCATTGCAGGAGATGAAGAACCTTCGTGCGAGTTTTGGGGAAAAGTCCACCAACAGCATGAGTGCTGAATTAACTCTGTGTCTGGTGAGCATAAATGGAGAAAAGCGCCAAAGTTGCCTCAATCAATATGAGACCAATGATTATAGTTAAGAAATTAATTAAATGCGGATGGTGTTCAACAAGTTTGCAATTGAGAGAGAGAGAGAGAGTTGACAGGTTGACAAGCCCAGCCTGACTATCAGGGAGAAATTCGACTAAGAGTGCGCACGAGATTGGAAGTTCATGATGATTTAATGGTCTCCCTTGTGTGCATTTCAAACTACTTGCCTTGGTCGTCTTTGAGCACAAATTGAGAAACGAACTGGCAAATCGTTTAATTCAAAAATTAATTTGATGGATCATTTTGGAATCAAGGATAGTTCATCGTGTAATTTATTGCATTTTCTCTAAATTAATCTAGCCATAAATGTCAGTGTTTTAAAAATTTTTATGTGAAAATAATGAAATATTTATCCAACAAATTCTTTCCTTCCAATTTAATTAGAGATAACTGGCAGAACTTTCGCATTCTTTTCATCGAGAAGTTCTGGAAAAGTCCTGCGCTGAAGTAAGAATGCTTCATGTGCTCAAATTATAATGTTCCCTGCATAATTCATGTCGTGTTTGTGGTTCACCCCTCAGCGCACGTCGAGGTGAACGAACAATAGAGGGAATGGGTGTGATTTTGATGGGATTTGTCATAGATTTTCATCAGCGAGTGCTTTCATATTTGGAACTTCCAGCGACATTGCGCGTCAGTTGGGCTCGATTTGGCCGAAGAGTGATTAATTGGCTGATTTCGGTCCGGAGCGGTTCACCTCAGACTGGATATCTCCTCGTGGTTCAATGATCCGCATCACTCTTTCCGTCTCTCCACGTCCATCAGCCGCCACCGCCCAGAGCAAATGGAAAGTGAGTTGGTGTGTCCATTTCACCTGCTCAAAGTGCACCTTTTTTGCTCGCGACGCGGCCATGTTTGCAAGAATCACTGGGGAACTGACGTAGCGGCGAGACCGCGGTGAGATCGCGAGAAGAAAACGGTACTTTGAGTCCCACCACGATCGCTATGACGCGAGCGGAGGTTGAATGGCACTCTCGCTGGATCGCTCTTCGGGCTCGGCGATCAGTTCCATTGTGAGTGCCTGATCGAGCTGTGTCGCGCGGATTTTCGCACGTTCGCGGGCCAAGATTGCCAGCTTAGAGATCTCCAGCGCAGGAAATGAGTGACAATTAGCGCTCGCTGATCTCCTTCTGTGTGTATTTTTCCACCGCGGCCGAGAGATCTGCTCAATTGAACGATCACGAGTGAGGTGTTCTTCAGGTGTTCTGCGGCGACTGAGGAAGTTGAAAAAGAGGCTAGAGCACCATTTATTGACAGTGTGCAGACCAACGGTACTACGGCACTTATAGACTGGAACAGCTGACGCAAATTCGCCTCAGATACGCCGAATAGGTGAGAAACCATCCGCGCACTTCTTGGGCCGAGCAGAGTCGCGACAGCCACCTTTGTACAAATTTCAATTAGCATTCCCAAGTACGGTATCACCATTTGGGCCACACACACACCTCCACCGAGTGCTTGAAAAAGTTAATGAAATTATTCAAAATATACCTGAGTGTCTCTCGGCGCGTTGATCGAGTGGAAAATGCGGTGTACCATTTGCCTAAACCCACAAGACCGCACACATCTCGCGTGGGGCTTTCGCAGGGTGTCGGGTGGCTAAGGAGTCTTTGGGGCGTCTCAAAAAGCCACCCACACCGCCGGCTCGGAGGTGTGAAAAGCAATTTCAGCAGAAATTGAGTCACCTCAGAGTACCTCACCTCCTCATATCTCGCAATTACTCTCTCAGTGCATTGGGCAATTCAATTTCCCAATCTTGCTCTCAATATCGACACGGAATGCACATCTTTGGTGCAGCGATTCATGCCAAAAGGTGCCAAGAAATGGGACTTTCAGCAATTTGAAGGATTTTTCATGAAAAATCTAATGAAACTTGCGAAGAATTTGACGGTCATTGATCAACGTTTATTGCACGTGTAGAGAAATTGTCAGAAGTCTGGTAATCTTGCTACATCTCCTCTTTCTTATCTGCACACAGTCTGCTGATGGCCAATCATTTAACACATGAAACAATGGTCCACCCACTCTTGGAGTACATTTTCATTGTTTCCATTTGAAATTTCACCGGAAGATCGAACATTAGCCAAGTCTTTGCCATGATGGAAAAACATTTCTCAGATCATTACACATCGAAAAAAGCAAGGCACGAAGAATATTCCAACTTCTTCTTCCCAGTTTCACCTTGCGAGAAGGTTAATTAGAAAGTCTTCGAGCGGCGAACATTTGCAAATTGAACAATCATCACAGTTTCGTCAAATGCGCGGCACCGCGAGACAACAGAAGCATTGAGATAAAGTAAACAGACCGGCAGAAATTGCCAACATGACGGATTCTCGCCCACGCCTGAGAAGTGTCGAAAAGTGAATTTTTCTATGGCCCCCGGGGAAAAGTTAAGACAATTCCAAATGCCTCAAACTCACGCACTCTCTGGGCGTCTCATGACTCACAACGCGCGCCCAACTCTGGCCTCAGATCAATACAAAATAAGCAATGAGACTTCACTTTCTTCTCATTGATATTTTTTCGGATCTCCACAGAGTCGTGGAGGGAATTTAATTTTTGGCCACCAGAAGGAATAATTGGAAACTCAAAGAATTCATTTGTGGCCCAGACAATCGTGGAAAACATGTTAATTTTGTTTGTGTGTGAAAAATTGGCGGGGATTTAAAGTTCGATGGTTTTTCACTTTTGGTGCAAAGCGAAAAAAAAGGTCAAATATAAATCAAATTAATAGCTCAACGTAACGAAATTGCACAGATTTTAAAAGTTAAACTCCCTTGATTTATGGCGAAACCGCCCAAAAGTTTGTTTTCCCAATCCGTGAGGTTCATTTACGGGCAAATTAAATCATTTTATTTTATTGTTGGTGTCTCGCACTGGAAACATTTTTTTTTTTACTTCAACTGCAATTTGGTAATTTGCTGATTTGCACACAAAATTTCATACTTTATGTCACGATATGATTTCATTTCACCTTTTTTCGGGCTGGAAAAGAAAACATTCAAATCAAATTTAGTATGTTTTTCCTTGAAAATTATGCCTTAGCAATTTCACACTGAATTGCCATGCAGAATCGCGTTGTTCGTGATATTGATTCATAATTCAGTGTGTGTGTATTGTTTCTGAATACGAAATTTGTGGAATTTAATAAGCTGCATAATTTTTGTTTGTACGTTTTGTTACCTGTGATTTGTAATTGTGATATATAGAATTGTGACTATTAACATTTTGCTGAGATTCTGCAGAACTCACATGATTGCATGGTGGAATTTTTATGTGAGCAACATTTTAATATTATAAAGAGATTCTCATCAAAACTTTGCATTCCGTAGAAATTCTTATATTTCTCTTGTGTGCAATTGTATAAAGTCTTTGCTTTGAGGAAAAGTGCATTTTATCCACCGTGAAAGGGGATGAAATAACATCTCTAGTTCTAGTTGCGTATTTGAAATGCATGAAGTGAACATACCGACCCAAAATTCACGGAAACAAAGATACTGAGAGAAATAAATTGTTATGAAATCGAAGTGCAGACACTAAGAAGTACTTCTTCAGTCTTATGTTAGGAGCAAATCTCCTTTGAATTATGCATTTGAATACTGTTCAATATCTTATTACCCCTTTTTATCCTTGAGGATAATGTTTTTGAGTCTGTCATCATTTGTTTTCACAGTGTATTTATTATCAACTTGCAACATAGCGTAATAATTTTCATACGAACAACTCGGAGAGCGCTGCAAAATATGCTGGGCATTTGTCACAATAGAAATAATTGTTCTGGTCTTGTCGAAATGCTTCTCGCAAAGTCTCATATTCTGTCTAATGAAAAATTCTCTGCGGAGCGCACGAAAGTGGGTCATTTTCTTGGCAAGCAGATGGTACAGAAGAGGTGAAAAACGGCAACTGAGGAGTGCTTTCACTTGGTCACAGGAAGTATAGCTCCATTTTTTCTTATAGCCTCGAGAGCGCTGGAAAATAATGGGTCTCTCTCGTTCGGTGATTTCTCCGGCGCACTCACAACTGAATCCATTCATCATCCATCGTCTGCTGACCTTTTACCACTTTCATTTGCTGCTCCCATCAAACACTCCACGTCCATATACTCCGTGGCCACTCTTCGTGTCATTCATATCCACATCCCAGCCCCTGGGGCAGCGCCGTGTCAATATTTGGACACTCCACATGGACTGAGGTGTGCGCCAAGTGAGCAGAAGAAGCGCCACAACACGCAATCTTACTTACACCGCTTCTATTTGCCTTCTTCTCCCGGGGAAAAGAATTGCGCTCCAACAGTTTCGTCCAATATCGGATCCCCCATTGTTTTCTAATTACAATTAAACAAGTGACTGATGCGGGGAAATCTCGGAAGAACAAACACAGGAGTTTCCATGACGGTCTGAGGCATGTGCGGAAACCGTGTCAGTGGCCAAAGTGAATCGAATGTCGTGTGATTCTCCCAGATACAATGGGAATGATGAGATTTCACGAGAATTCTTCGGATGCCGAGGTGTTTTCCATCAAATCAATCCAAATTATATGCACAGTCAGAACGACCCAATTTCTGGCCACACTTCAGCTCGTCTGTAGGTGTAATGTGGGTCGCCGAAGCCATTAAATCACCATCGATACTGATCGCGCGCCGCAAACGTTACTCAAGACCGCCGAGATCACCTATTTTCAGCGATAACCGTCCGTTACCTTTGAATCGCTCACCTGTGTCTCATCTCAAGTGGAGATCCCAACCATGCCTGATCGCCTCTCTCTCTCTTAAGCCACTTAACAGATCATGACAGTGAGACTTGAGCGGGTTTAACCACACTCTTTGTTGTGATTTCGGGAACTCTGAGTTCGTAGTTATGAATTTGCTTAACTTAATCTTGCAGATATTACCAAAATCGCTCCACAATGACATCCAGTGATCCGGGAATAGTGTGCTTCCAGCATTGCGGACCGAAGGTCTTCTGCATTCGCCTGCCTGAGCGATGTCCGTCGTGCAGACGAGATCTGTTGGAGGCCTCCTTCAAGCTCATGCCCTTCCGGCTGCCCTTCCCATTCATCCGAGCGTCCCAGTATCCAGGAGCTGTGGTCCTGAGACCCACCACTGGAGACTTTCTCAAGTAACGCGTAAGAAACTATCTTCCAAACCGCGATATATGAGCAGTGTTCTTCTTCTGCAGTGAATATTACAACAGCAAGGACTTGCATATTGGAGTTACCACCTCAACTGGGGCGATCGTGGAGTTTGATCGCGGTGGCCTAAGGAGACACACCGAGAAGGGCAGTAAAAGTTCGTGGGCCCAGAGTTTACTGGTCGAGCAGATTCCAGAAGCTTGGATTGATCATTGGGACACTGTATTACTCCAAGTAAGTAATAGTATTCTGCATAAAGTTGAAATCCAGATGTCTAACTGAAGAATACATTGCCCAGACTTGCAAGAAGCCGATGTGGTCTTCGGAGGAGTACAAGGAGGACTCCAACAACTGCTACACCTTCGTCCTGACCTTCTTGGAGGCTCTGGGGTATGGCGAATTGAGCAAGGCTGCCCAGAATCGCACTCTCTTCTGTGAGAAATACATCGTGCCACGAACAACAGCGGCTGGCAAGTACATTTCGCTGTACAGGAAGATCCGTGATCACGGGCTGTACATCCACGCGGCACAGCCGAGCGGGATCAGCCCCAACGCTCCACACGGAATGGAGAAGCCAAACACCTTCGGCATAGGCGGCAAATTGTGTAGCATCCGTGAGTGATTGCTGATTGCAGAGTCAACCTCCAAGGCATTTATTTATTCTTCAGACAAATATTAGTTTTACGATGTGTAATTTATTGTCTCCCCTGGCGAGGGTGCTTCCAACTCTGCCATTGGGTGTATTTTCATGAATAAGAGATTCGGTGTGAAAATTATCTGACACTACTCGTCCAGCGTTGGATCGATATACAGAGAGGAAAGTGTGGGTTTATTACGTTGTACTCTTCTAAATGTAACGTTCTCTCAACGAGGAACACTGAATTAAGGGTGTGATAAATACAGTGGCTAATAAATTTTAGAGAGTGTTGCTTTTCAACCAAAATGAAATGTTTGGCCATGTCTTGAATTGGCTACACTTGAAGTATTAATTATTTCTTATATAGTGTAAAGCTCAAATTTTGGTCCACGAAGAGTGGAATGAATCGCTAAAGTGGATGACTTTTACGACCAACTCACACGGATTCGCACTAAATTCACCTCACGACCAACTTAAGATTAACGATTAAAGTTTTCATGACGGCGTCTTGATGCAATTTCTGCGGTCCTATTTCAGGCGCACGGTCTCAGGATGGCGTTGCCGAAAATGGAGCAAACTCCAAATTGAGGTATGAAATTAACACTTTTCTCAAGTGACTACAATTCGAATGTAGTAAATGTGATGCTGTGCTGTCTTCCAGAAGTATCTCTCTCCTTCTCGAAAATTGTTGCCAAGGAAAAACATCTGTCTGACACCATTTCAATCAAATTTCATGACACCCTTCTTGGAATTTGCCATCGACGCTTCTGGGGCAAACTTTTGTAATTCTCCTGCCTCGCCAAAGAGTGTCTCTAAAATTTCATAATCATTTTTAATTAACTTTACCAACTCAGATGATGACAAGCGCAAAAGCACTCGCGGAAAATGGGGTGTCTCGCGATTAAATGAAACAAATCATCCCAATATAAATACGATTAGCGAGTCACACTGCTCGAGTGTGCCTTCAGGGATTGCTATAATTCGTATAAACATCTTAACCAGCTTTCAGTGGAAATCTCACCCGTCGGGGCTCCTTAAGTTGAATCATCTGTGAAAATTCCCTGGCCGGAAATCTCTCCAAATCCCAAATCGCATTCTATTTTCCCCGCTTTTTGGCACTCAACATTCCTCGATGGTCGGAATATTTATTGGGGGATATTTATAGCATTTCCGTAACTATAGGCATAAATAATACAAAAATGGTAGGACATGGACAAAAACTTGCACCGCAGTTGAGGGAATTTGTTCGGAATATGTTATTTCAATAGTCCTGAAATATTCATCTTTTTATTACACAACTTATGATATCGAGAGGCTAACAATAAAACTTCCATCCAACACTTTTCCCACGTGGGCAATAAAAGAGAGTGTGGCTCCCGGATCTCTTCTCCTGCCAAATTGCCAGGTGACCCCATTTTCCCTGATATTCCACCTTTATCAGTTTCCCGCCAAAGTGGGAGAATAAACAAATAAAAGGAAAAGGCAGCGCGCATCGCGTGCTTCTATGCTTTCTCTCTCATTCACACAGAGACATTTATTAATGCAAATTTACGCTTTTAGTCATCGATTACACAAAAGTCACTCTCTCAGCTCCAAATGGCAAATTAACACACAACTAAGTTGAAATTTTGGTAAAGATATTTCTATTGTCAGGAAGTCACGTCACAACATATTCAAGCGAGAGAAAGTAAATTGCACGGCGCGAAAAGCTTTAATTGTTCATTGATTTGCTGTATTGTAAATAGATTTTCTAGTAGAATTCTTACATAATTTTACACACTATTTGCATTTAAATGAAAACGTCAACTTTAAGGGCTTGTTTGAGGGTGTTTCTGGGAATTTTAGGGAAGGTAAGCTATGTAAATATGTTTATTCATGCCGAATTGTACATAGAAATGCGAAATAGAAGAGTGCAGGGCTAATTTGGACAATCGACTTTAAGATTTTCCGTCAATTAACATAGAGTTGACAATTCTTTTCATCGGTAGATTTTATATTGGAAGCTTTTATTTGATGTCTCAACCGACTCAGCCTAAAATTTCACGTGAAAACTAGCCCAGCTTTACCTTATTTGCCACACTCGGCAATGCACATATTAATTTCATTTCTCTCTAACAAAACAAATGTTTATTCAGAGAAAATCTGACTACTGTAGATACATACAATAGTGCTAAAGAGAAAGAGCAGAGCTGCTGAAAGGGATTCACTGTGTTTGAACAATGAGTCTGTGCGAGAGCATGAAATGGTGCACTTCTAAATACTATCGATTCACTGTGTAAATTTTTCTTGCTCAAATATGAAACTTTAATAGCACTCCTTTAGGGGTCTCCTTGCGGAGCGAGGATACACAGTTGTGGCGCCATTCGGCGCCTGATTGCTCATGATGTTAATGGCTCCTCCCCGAGACTTGAGGAATCTTCCAAGGAGATCTCCTTTGTGTGGTGCGGTTTATCTCATTTGGCCCCGCACACTGTGTGAAATTGCATAAACTTTTCCACAAGTGGCGCGGAGCTCCTCAGACCGCGTTTATAATAATAATTTGACCCCTTTATATTTTCGATTATCATACAAAATAGCGAAATGGGGTGGAGCGCGCCGGGGATGGCTCGCGGGGGCGCGGAATACGCGCCGTGTGTCTCGACTGATTAAAACAATATTCCCTCCATGGGGAAGTTTTATAAATAAATAAACGACAAAGTGTATTTTCATCCTCCACCTCAGCTCGAGGGCGCGGTGAGCTTTGCCAGGGAAGCGCCGCAGCGCCGAAGATTGGAGCCATGCGTCGTCGCATTTGCTATGCAAATCTAATTCAACTCGATACGCTTGTCGCCTGGAATGGAAATCATTTTTCTGATTTATGAGATTGACACCGCCGTCGCGAGAGTTGGGGGCGAAAAGCGCACCGAGCGGCGTCGCACGGAAGTCTCGTGCGGAAAATCCAATGGATATCCTTGTGCAGGGAGTGTCACACATATCCCCACTTGAATATGCTCAAGTGAAAGTCATGAGATGCTCTCAGAACAGGAGGAATTCCTACGGGTGGTTTCCTCAACAATTAAATTCCAGTCACGATTCATTCCTAATAATACCACTTTCCCGTTTACTTCGCCACCTCTTGTGGCGCTTGTTGACAACTTATGCCCGCATCGTGCACCTCGGCTCCCTAGCTCCCTATTGGCGAGGAGAACAGATCACTCATCTGTTTTCACATCAACTCCCCCACAAGCACCATTCACAATCCAATTAGTGACACGGAACTATTGCGTCCGCTGCGAATGAGCACCGAGGCGCACACTGGAATACTAAAGACGCACTGGCAAAAGAGCTTCCATTAGAGACTTTCGCCAGTAATCGTGCGATTTTTAAATTCAACCACATTAAAACACAATTAATGCAAGCATGCGAAGATGCGCGACATTCAATCCTCACTGAGAACTCCAACTGAGCGCAAAGTTCTTGCTCACGAGAGTGAAACTTCACTCAAAGTTCAATCAAAAGTTGAACTCTATCGCTCAAGTGCAGTCAGGTGGAGGTGAAAGATAACGGACAAGGGGATATTTCATCCCCTGATGAAATTACTGTCCTCTATCGATGCTGGTGAAGCTATTGATTTGCATACGAGCATTGACTTTCACTGTATATGAACAATTAAATCCCAACAGAAAGCTCTTAAGTTCACTAACAACTGACGTGAATTGTGTTATCTCACAATTGATAGTTCTAATACACTTCCGAGTCAAACACCAATCAATTCCCTGTATGTTCAAGATGAGAAGCAACTCAATATCGCAGTGAGATTGACTTGAGCGCTCTGCCAAGTGTTCTCAACTCATCTAACCCTTTCACTACATCATTTGCATGTGGCGATGCTTCAGCGCAAGTTTGGGTAGATTGGCAAGAAATTATAGTGAATTTGCTCTGATATTTTTGCCAGAACGCACGCAAAAGCCAAAGTCAAATTGGTATAATTATTGGCTTTGCGCGTAATTGATATGGAATTCAGTGAACTATGAGCATTTACATATCCTGCCGATATTCTGGGTCAAATAGAAACGCCTCTCCCACGGATTCTGGGGTGGTGGGCGGCAATTAATCAGCAGGCAAGCTGATACAGAAGCAAATTGCCATACAAATGGAAAATCAATTCAGAAGCATCATTAATTCAATTCATACATGGGACACTCCAGCACGGATTGTAAAACACTTCACACTTGCCGCTCTTCTCATTTATCACACCGACCGAGGAACTATTATTAAATAAACAAATTCCTCTCTCTCTCTCTCTCTCTCTCTCTCGCTTTCAATTCAGATTTTCACACGGTATGTGGGAGACGTGATAAGAATATCACCACGAGCAATTACCGAATGAGCAATGTTGTGCAATATTTATCGCACACACACACGGCGGCAAATAAGCTTTGAGGACACGTGAGGAGGTACATTTGTCCAATGAAGTGGGATAGCCGGCGGGTAGATCAGCCGGATATATTCTGCAAAGTGACAAATAGAGTTAGTGAAACTAATCAACATGGTGTGGATAAGGGATACTCGTTTGGGGATGGTCTCGCAACCAGAGTAAATCGAATTAAGTATGGCGTGAGACAAAGTTAAATAACAACGTGCGAGGATATAACACCTTATAACGTGCAGATTTCAGTGTGAAGTAGGAAATTGCGAGCAGCAGAGGAGGAACAAGTATTTGGGATTCATGTGTAAAATAGTATTTCAGAACTTCGATCAGTAAAATTTCAGTTGGTTCCAATTCCACTGCCTAGCAAACACAAATTGCTCAAATCTTAAAATTGAGAATTAAATAGCTAATTTTTTCGCTCTCCTCCGCTAAGATCTGAGCCATTGAGTGATAATGACACACAAGTTAATACTACAAAAAACTTGCATATACATGTTTAACTTCCTGTTTTCTTGCTAAGATCTGATCAGAGAAAAGCAACAAGTTTAGCAAAATATTAAGCGAAACTCAGTAGAAAAATTATTGAGAAATTTGATCGAAATTTTCCGGTTGGTTTAAAATTTTGCTTTCAATTGTTAAACCGCTTTTATAGCTTTTTTGGTTCGCTGAAGATATTCAAAACTAAGCAACCGTCTAGAAAATCGTTTGTAGCGATCTTAAGGGATATGATATGGTAAAGAAACATTTCTATACATAATTCGTTTCACTCTCGACAATATCACTTTGCAGGGTGGCTTGAGAAAATACCCTTGACGTGGTGCCTTATGGAGATAATCCTCTTTGAGGTATTACTCCTCCGCATTGAGAC